GTTTGATATAATCCCATTTGTTTATTTTTCCTTTGGTTGCCCGTGCTTTTGGGGTCGTATTCATGAAGTCTGTGTCCAGTCCTACTTCCTGAAGTGTTTCCCGTATGTTTTCTTTAAGAAGTTTTATTGTTTCAGGGGATACGTCCATCTTTTGACATGAAAGAGAAAGCCAAGACAGAGAATCCAGTTCTGCCACTGTATGTTTTCTTTAAGAAGTTTTATTGTTTCAGGGATACGTCCATCTTTTGACATGAAAGAGAAAGCCAAGACAGAGAATCCAGTTCTGCCACTATTGGTCCACCTCACCAATGCTTTTGTTGCAAAGACTTTACTTTGTAAGAAAAATAAACTATTTGTCTAACTATTGTTAATTATGCCTTATTAATTCTACACAGCTGAAAACATTTGTAATTGATAAAACTGCTGGTGCTGAGTGGCTTCCATAATATTTGAAAGGAAGCAGGCATTCAAACATGTCTGTTAAATTAATCAGTGACTTAGGGAAGGTGATGTCAGCGAGTTTCTTTTTTTAAAAGAATTATGCTAAAATATGCATAACATGATATTTATAATTTTAACCATTTGTAAGTGCACATACAATTCAGTGGCATTAAATACATTTACAATGTTGCATAACCATCACCATCATCTATACCCCAAACTTCTTCATCATTCCCAACACAAACTCTGTACCAGCCCCTGGCATTCTACTTTCTCTGTTTCTAGAATTTAGTTATTCTAGGTTCCTTATATACATGGAATCATACAATACCTGTCCTTCTGTGTCTGTATAATTTCATTTATCATAATGTCCTTAAGGTTCATCCATGTTGTAGCATGTATTAAAACTCCATTTTTTAAGACTGAATAATATTCCATTGCACACATATACCACATTTTGTTTATCTGTTCTTCTGTTGATGGACACTTGGGTTACTTCCACGTTTTGACTATTGTGAATAAAGCTGCTATGCACATTGGTGTACAAGCATCTGTTTGACACCCTGCTTTCAATTATTTTAGGTGCATAACCAGAAGTGAACTTGCAGTATTATATGGTAATCCCATGCTTAACTTTTTAAAGAACCACCAAACTGTCACTGCACCATGTTACCTTCCCACCAGCAATACATGAATGTTCTAATTTCTCCACATCCTCACAACATTTGTTATTTTCCATTTTTTAAAATTATAGCCATCCTGTCCTAGTAGGTGTGAAGAGATATCTCATTGTTGTTTTGATTGACATTTCCCTAGTGACTGCTGGGGCATTATGGGAGCGTGGGAACACAGACCATGCCCCAGTAGGCAGATGGATAGTCCCACACCAGGCTGGCCAAGGCAGATAAGTGAGACTCCTTGGAGCTTGTGTGCAAGTCATTCTCCTGAGGAGACAGCACCAGCTTGATGAGTCTCAATTAGGAAAAGCTGGGGCTGATGGAGGAAGGGAGGAGAGTGTTCTTCATCCTCATCACATCCTGTGTCTGTGCTCCAGGCTCCCACGACTTCCCTCCTTGGCCACAGAGCTCAGGACAAGGCTGAGGAACCATGTCTCCATCCTTATCTGCCCTCTTCTGTCTTGGTGAGTCCTGAGGGTTGATCTGGGAAATGCTGAAAGACAGACACTGTTCTGCCAAAGAATATATTTTTTAAAATTGTATCAGTAGGTTAAGGGTTTGGATCTCCTTACCAGCCAGCCATTAAAAAAAAAAAAAATTGCATCAGCAATGAATTTCAGGCAAGAGGGGACCCACAAGAGCCCCTTCATTTGTTCAGTGGGACAGCTGGGGCCCAGGGAGATGGCATGTTTTGTCTGAGTTATTCCAGTTTAGTCATGCCTGGGCCAGGAAATAAACACAGGTCTGCTAGTGTTGGTCCCAACTTTTTCCTTCTATACTATAGTTGCTTTTTTTTTTTTTTAAATGTGGACTTGATGATATCAGGACTAGGTTATAGATTTAATTTGTGAATATTCCCTACAGTAGTGGAGCAAATGAGATTTTTCCCTCAAAGGATAGGTGGTGGGATTTGTCTTGCCTGATCTTCATCAGTTTTGTGCTAGGCACGTCATATGCATTATTTCCTTGTTTCTTCAGAAGAACTTTACCACTAAAGGGCCAGAGGCTCCAAGAGACTAAGCAGGAAGGAACCTGTCGTGTTATTGGTGCTAAGAAGGCAGACTGTGATACAAACAAACTCTCATTCATTTTTTCATTCATTCTTTAACACACTCTTACGTAGCACATACTATGGGCTAGGTATATTTTTTAACTCACTTAATCCTGAACAGCCTGATGAGGTAGGACTTATAATTATCCTTATTTTATAGACGAGAAAACAGACCCAGAGGGGTTAAGTAACGTGTTCAGGGTCAGACAGCCTGGGCTTGAATACAAACTGAGGAATTTCGGCAACAAGTCCATGTTCTTTTTTAAAAAAATTTATCTTTTTGGGAAGAGGGAACTGGCCATTTCTACTTATTTTTTCAATTGACAAAATTATACATATTCATAGTGTACAGCATGATGTATTGATATATGTGTACATTGTGCAATGGCCAAATCAAGCTAATTAACCTGTCCATTACCTCACTTATCTTTTTTTTTTTTGCACTGAGAACATCTATTTTGTTTTGTTTTTATTCATTCCTTTCCTTTCTTATTTTTATTGTGGTAAAATGTATATAACATAAGAATTATTTTATTTATTTAAAAAATTTATTTATTAATATTATTTTTTTACATTCTAAGATGTGTTGCAGAGCAGTTGGGGGGAAGGAAATAGGGTCAGAGGAGGAAGGAGGGGAGCGTTGTTGAGGCCCGTGGCACCCCCTCATTCCGGCAGGGGACACCAGGAGGTTTCCAGAGGGGGCTCAGTCGTTGCTGGGCTAGATGCAGATGTTAGGGGGCATGGCTGAAGCCCTTGGTCCCCCACCGCCCCAGCCTGGGAACCCTGGGGTGTTTCTGGTGGCAGCTCAGTTGTCGTCACTGGGCTGGTTGCAGATGTCGGGGGTTGTGGCTGAGGTCCTCGGCCCTCTCCCGCCCCGACTCAGGAGCTCTGGGCACTTCTGGTGGCAGCTCAGTGATTGTTGCTGGGATGGTTGCAGAAGTTGGGGGGTGGTTTGAAGAATTACCATTTTAATACATACAATTGCACAGAATTAATTACATTCTCAATGCTGTGTGACCACCACCTCTATTTCCAAAACTTTTTCATCATCCTAAACATGCTCTATACCCATTAACCTTAAGCCATGACTTCTCATTATTCCTTTCCCCCAGTTTCTTGTGGTGAGAACATTTAAAACCCTCTCTTCTAATTTTGATAATTTCAAGTATACAATACATTGTTATTAACTGTAGTCACCATGCTATACAATAGATCTCCAGAACTAATTCCTCCTGTCTATCTGAAATTTTGTATTCTTTGACCAACATCCCTCCAATTCTACTCCCCTCCCCAGCCTTCAGCCTCTGATAACCACCATTCTACTCTCTGCTTCTATGAGTTTGAAAGTCCATGGTCTTTACCACTGAACTATGCTGCTAGTGTTTGAATCTACCACCTACCTGCTGTAGGACTGTAGAGCAAATACTGCCTCAACAGCCCGATGTATAAAACGGAACAAATAATGGTACTTAATCAGTAGGATTTATGGCAACTCAAAGTCCATACACAGACAGCGCTTAGCATGACTGCGATATTTCCAGCCATGTTAGAGGGTCCCATGGAAACCTATGAAGGAACTGAGGTGGGGCTGTGTTGGTCATGGTGGGCAGAGATGTGGGTGGTGCTTGGGTACAGGGTGCAAAGGGAGCCTGGGGTGGACAAGGGGTGGGACTCAGAGTGGGCTGGTGACAAGTGTGTCACTCTCTAAGTTCTGGAGTCAGAGATGATCTGGGCTCAGCCACTTGCTAGCTGTGTGAGTGAAAGGAAATTGCTTAGCCTCTCTGTCTAGTTTCCTTGCTTATAAAGGGAACAATTGTAGTCTCTTTTTCTATTGTGTGTGTATGTGTTAAGGATAAGGGTTGCCAGATAAAACATAGTGTGTCCAGTTAAATTTGAGTTTTAGATAAACAAACAAAAAAAAATCCTTTTTTAAAGCATAAGTATATCCTATATATCTCATGGGACATACTTATACTAAAAAAAGTGATTTGTTGCTTACCTGAAATTCAGACTTAGCTGTGAGTCTTGTATTTTTATTTGCTAAGTATGGCAACTCCAGTAAGATTAGAACAGATAATTTTACCAACTTAAGGGAAAAACAAAAAAGTCTTAGTTTGAGAGAAAAAGAGCAATTAATTAGTCCAGATGGAAGGAAAAATGGGAGGAGAGGACCTCCAAGGGAAAAAGCAAAATTTACAGATTATGCAGTTTCATAGATGTTGTGTAAAATTACATGGAGAAGCTATTAAAAATTGTGGAAATATTAGTAATAGGTTCCAATAAAACCCTGAAGATGGAAATTAATCAGGCATTTATTAACACTTTGGAAAACAACCAGAAAACACAGATAGGTACAACATGATAATCCTCAGGTGTGAATAGAATTTGCAGTCATATTAATGAAATCACTGAATATTGATTTCACCAAAAAGTGTAAAATAGTGGAAAACCTGTGAGTAACACACCCTGAGACATCTTAACTTATAATGCAACAGACCCCACCTTGCACACAGCCCCTTCTCAGAGGGTTGTTCACTTTCCAGTTGTGCAGTAGGGTTGGAGTTGAGATGGCTTCTCGCGGTCACTGGGGTTTTTCTCATTGATAGTCAGTTGAGTCGAGGGTAGCTTTCACTGCCTTTATTACTGTGCTTTTTGTGATCATATAGACAACTGGATAGTATTAACTTCCTGATGACCCAATCATATATTTTATTTGATAATTTTTGGGGCCCAATGTATCCCGTGAGGGTAGGGTTTTATTGTCTATACAGTAGTCCCCCCTTATCCTCAGAGGATAAGTTCCAAGACCCCCAGGGGATGCCTGAAACCTCGGATAGTTCCACGTCCTGTATATATACACACTTACTTCAAAAAGTTCGTGGAAAAATAGAATTAAAAGACAATATGAATCTTTCCATGAACTTTCTGAAGTACGCTTGTACTATGTTTTTTTCCTGTATATACATACCTGTGATAAATTTTGATTTGTAAATTAGGCACAGTAAGAGATTAACAACGATAACTAATAATAAGAACTGTAACAATATGCTGTAATAGAAGTTATGTGAATCACTCTCTCTTTCAAAATATCTTATCGAACTGTGCTCAGCATTCTGGTTGTGAAGATGTGAGATGATAAAATCCTGTCGAGGTTGACCGCATGTAAATGAAATGGCAGATAAGGAAGGACTATGGTATTGCATATAGGATAAAATGCAATAATATATGACATGCAACAGTATATACAACACTTGTCAATACAATAATGGTATGTTATTGCTTGTACCCTTGGATATTATTGTATATTGAGAGATTGAAGAGAGGAAAAGAGGGAATGGCAATGTCAGATATTGGAATCCTCACCTCTGCTAAGGAAGTCAATGTGCAATGTCTAAAATTAATGAGTCAACAGGGAGCGGTGTGCATGCCTTTGTTTTTTTAGAATTATCGGTCGTCAGAAGGAACAGCAAAAATAGTTAAAAGTGTGTGCATGGGTGAGGGGCAACGGCGGGAGCTGGACAGGGTCAGGGAAGGAATTCCCTGTTTAACTTTTAAACAACTTTTATTGTGATTAACTACAGATAACATAAAATCCATTCTGGTTGTGAAGATGTGAGATGATAAAATCCTGTCGAGGTTGACCGCATGTAAATGAAACGGCGGATAAGGAAGGACTATGGTATTGCATATAGGATAAAATGCAATAATATATGACATGCAACAGTATATACAACACTTGTCAATACAATAATGGTATGTTATTGCTTGTACCCTTGGATATTATTGTATATTGAGAGATTGAAGAGAGGAAAAGAGGGAATGGCAATGTCAGATATTGGAATCCTCACCTCTGCTAAGGAAGTCAATGTGCAATGTCTAAAATTAATGAGTCAACAGGGAGCGGTGTGCATGCCTTTGTTTTTTTAGAATTATCGGTCGTCAGAAGGAACAGCAAAAATAGTTAAAAGTGTGTGCATGGGTGAGGGGCAACGGCGGGAGCTGGACAGGGTCAGGGAAGGAATTCCCTGTTTAACTTTTAAACAACTTTTATTGTGATTAACTACAGAGAACATAAAATTTACCACTGATGACATTTAGTAATTAATAATGTTGTACGACCATTACCTCCTTCTGTTTCAGAGATACTTTTATTACCCCCAAAGGAAACCCCACACCCATAACATAAAATTTACCACTGATGACATTTAGTAATTAATAATGTTGTATGACCATTACCTCCTTCTGTTTCAGAGATACTTTTATTACCCCCAAAGGAAACCCCACACCCACTAAGCAGTCCCTCCCCAGGCCCTCTCCCCAGCCATGACCACCAGCCATCTGCTTTCTTTCTCTATGGGTTTGCCATTCTGAGCATTTCATATAAATGGCATCGTGCGTGGCCTTTTGTGATTGGCTTCTTTCACTTAAAGTATGTGCATGTGAGTGTCTTTGGAAAAAATAAAATAATGATGATGAAGAAAGTGAATGCATGCAATGTCCTGTCCTCATGCCAAGCTGGCAGAAAGTGTCGATTGAATGGAGTTCTTAGCATCTGGTCCTTTTCTTCTTTCCTCAGGGCTGTGTCTAGGGCAGGTGATCCAAGCGCAGGATGGTGAGTCCTCCCAGAGTCCCTGGAACCCTCCTCTGGGTCCAGCCAGCCAGAGGCGGGAGGGGGTGTCAGGGACCCAGGAAGGGGTCTGTTTGGAGACTGACCTCTGGGCTCTGCTTCTCTTCCAGGCTCACTCCCCAAGCCCTCTCTTCAGGCTCTGCCCAGCTCCCTGGTGCCCCTGGAGAAGCCGGTGACCATCCGGTGTCAGGGGCCTCCGGGCGTGGACTTGTACCGCCTGGAGAAACTGAGATCCAAGAAGTATGAGGATCATGCAGTCCTCTTCATCCCGGCCATGAAAAGGGATTTGGCCGGACTCTACCGCTGCTCCTATCAGAATGGGTCCCGCTGGTCTCCCCCCAGTGACCAGCTGGAGCTGGTTGCTACTGGTAACCCAAGGGGAAGGGGTGGAGTGAGGCTGGACTTGTAGCCTCAGGGCTGCATGGTCCTTAGCTCTGGACTCCACAGGGGTGAAAATGAGGGATGTCAAGGACACTAAATCCAAAAATCCAACAGGGACAGAGTTAAGGTGAGGCACCTGAGGCATTGGCCTCGAGTGCTAAAGTTAGGGGAGGTAGTACCACAAAACTCATTAATCAATGTAAATAACATTTTCATGAAATTAAAAAAAAAATCGAAATCAATTCCAAAAACATCAACGATGAACAAAATATCACAATTTGAAACTGAGTCGAGATCTAGCAGTGCCTGTGCCGAGCCATCCCTGAGGCTGAGACAGGAGGAAAAATGGACAAACCTCTATTTGTGTTTCAATGCATTTTTAAATGGTTAATTATTTTCTAAAAGTAGACTTTGGAAATGTCATTGGTGAGTTTACTTCCATGAAAACCTTTAATGTAAAATTATAATAAATTCTGGGGTATTTTTTAAAGGGGGGGAGGTAAAAATGAAATATTTGAACAAAATAATTTAAAATTTAATAACCTACTTTTCAACTTTTCAGTACTTAATTATGTTATTTGGAAAAAATTAAATTTTGCCTCCCGGGAGGGTGCCTCGCTTGCCTCTCGTTATTCCTGAGCGGCTGTGCAGCAGTCACCAGGCACCTGAGCTGGTGTCACCCTTCCCTTCCCTCCCTCACTCCACTGTAGCATCGCTGGCCTCTCCTCTGCTCCTGGAACATGCCAGCCTTCCTGCTTCATTATTGCTTTTGGGGTCTGACTCACAGGCTATCTTGTCATTAATTATTTCCCTCACCCCCCTAGTTAAAATTGCACTCCAATTTAAAGTGACATTCATTTATTTGTTTATCTCAGTTATTGTCTATTTTTTCCTCTTGATAGGATTATTATTTGTTAGAACAGAGACAGACACATAATAGTTGCTTAATGAAAAAAAAAATTGTTGAGTGAGTGAATGAGCCATAACTACCAGGCAACTTCTGTGACTGCGGTGTGCCTGGCACGCTGCAACACCCTCAGCGATAAGGATCTCAAATTATAGTAGTGGATTCATGTTTAGGAGTGGAAACCTTAGAGATGAAACTAACAATTTAAATTTCATTCTGCCACTTATTATCTTATGATTGTGAACAAATTACTTTTAAACAATTTTTAAAAATTGTTTTCAGCTTTATTGAGGTATAACTGATAAATTAAAATTATATACATTGGAGTTTATAACTTGATATTTTGATATTCATATACATTGTGAAATAATCACCACAATCAAGCTAATTAACACCATCACCTCATGTAGTTACTTTTCTGTGTGTGTATAGTGAGAACATTTAGGATATATCCTCTTAGCAAATTTCAAGTATACACTGTAGTATTTCTACCTATAGTTGGACAAATTATTTAACATCACGTGCTTAGTTTCGTTTATAAAATAGAGACATTAATAGTGATAAATTCATAGGTCCTTGTGAGGATTCAATGAATTTGGAAGGCACCTGGAAGCTGGTACTTTAACACAAGTTTTTTTTTTTTTTGTCCTTTTTGAGACCAGCCGCACCGCGCTCAGCCAGTGAGCGCAGTGAGCGCACCGGCCATCCCTATATAGGATCCGAACCCGCGGTGGGAGCGCTGCTGCACTCCCAGCGCCGTACTCTCCTGAGTGCACCATGGGCTCGGCCCTAACACAAGTTTAAAATATAACTACTGTATACCATATTACAAGCGCTGCTGCACTCCCAGCGCCGTACTCTCCTGACTGCACCATGGGCTCGGCCCTAACACAAGTTTAAAATATAACTACTGTATACCATATTACAAGCTTACAATGTAGTATAAGCTTAAGCTATTTTGTTACTATGATCATATGTTGAATGCTTGCTATGTGTTAGACACTCTGCTAAGTGCTTAATATGAGGGTACTTCAAAAATTTCATGGATTGTCCATGTAGGGCTGAAAAAAAAAGTTCATGTAGGGCTGTCCATGTAGGGCTGAAAAAAAAAGTTCATGGAAAGATCTGTATTGTATTTTTTAAAAGATATGGATTGTCCATGTAGGGCTGAAAAAAAAAGTTCATGGAAAGATCTGTATTGTATTTTTTAAAAGATGACCAGTAAGAGGATCTTAACCCTTGACTTGGTGTTATCAGCACCACGCTCTCCCAAGCGAGCCATGGGCCAGCCCAAGATTTGTATTATATTTTAATTCCATTTTTCCTTGAACTTTTTGAAGTACCCTTGTACATTGTCTCATTCAATGATTCCCAGTTTACAGTAGAGGACATGATACACAGATATAGAGGGGGATTTATCTCCAGGGTCACATGGCCACTAAATGGCAGAATCAAGATTTAAGCCCAGGCACTGTGATGTGACCACAGCCATACTCCCCTAACCACTTTGTGACCCTGCCTCTCCGTGAGCTTGGGCAGGGGGCATGGGCTCTCCAGAAAGGATACAGCCAGAAAGTTCCCTAGCCCTTAAAGACGTGGTGGGACATTCCCACTCTCCACAGCTGAGACGCTGGCCGTCGTCTTTAACACCAGAGTTTTCTTTTCTCCCAGGAGTTTTCACCAAGCCCACTCTCTCAGCTCATCCCAGCCCGGCCGTTTCCCCAGGAGGGGACGTGACCTTACAGTGTCAGACCCCATACAGCTTTGACCAATTTGCTCTACAAAGAGAGGGGGACCCTGAGCCCTACAAGAGACCCGAGAGGTGGTACCGGGCCAGTTTCTCCATCATCACAGTGACTGCTGCTCACAGCGGGACCTACCGGTGCTACAGCTTTTCTAGCAGATTCCCTTACTTGTGGTCAGCTCCCAGCGACCCCCTGCAGCTCGTGGTCACAGGTAAGGTGGGTGAATTCATGATCTTTCTCCCTTGGCCTATATAGGCCCTGATGGCAGTTCCAAGGGGAGGGAGAGGTAGGAGTGAAGAAAGTGGAAGAGCAGGGGAAGCCCCAGGCTCCAAGCAGCTTTGAAGGATGTATTAGTTTCCTCTTGATGCTGTAAGAAGTTACCACAAACTCACTGGCTTACAACAACACAGATTTATTATCTTATTGTTCTGGAGGTCAGAAGTCCAAAAGGGAGTTCTCATTGAGATTAAGCAAAGGTGTTAACAGGGCTATATTCTTTCTGGACTCTCCAGGGTTGAATTCGTTCCTATGACTTTTCCAGCTTCTGGAAGCCACCTGCATTCCTTGGCTTGTGGCCCTTTCTTCCATCTTTGAGGCCAGCCATGACCCTTCTTTAAATCTCCTGTTCTCTAACTCTTCTGCCTCCCTCTTCCATTTATAAGGGCCCTTGTAATCACACTGGGCCCACCTGGATAATCCAGGCTAATCTCTTTATCTCAGGATCCTTGACATCTGCAAAGTCCCTTATGCCATGTAAAGCAACAAATTGAGATGTTTTGGTGATTAGTACTCAGAAGTGTTTGGAAGGCATTCTTTTGGCTTCTACAGAGAGTGTGTGTGTGTGTATATATATATATATATATATATATATATATATATATAAAGAAAAAAATTTGTAATACCATAAATAACATCCTTGTCTGGTCTGGGTTTCAAAAATAAACAAACAAGCAGACAACAAGAAACTTGCAGAAATTACTGAAAGATGCCACTAGTGTAAGGAAGAAAACTTACAATGCCTTTCCTTACACTACAATCATACATTCAGATTTTCTTATTTTTAATTGGTACAATGTATCTGAAGAGCTTGCTGCTGAATCTTTTACATCAATGGGTACAATTTAAAAATCAGTACCGACGTTTCATGCTCACTGTTGCTTTAGGATCATGTACTTTCTCAGGTATTTGAAGCCAATCAACTTATTTAAAATGTCTTCATATTGTGAGGACTAATGATGCTACCAACAGTGGGAGAATTTTTCTCTTCCTGGTAGTGGATTGAAAACGTTAGTACAGGGTAAAATGAAAATGTTCTTGTTTCAGACTTATTTTCATTCAAATGTAGCTATTGGGGTCATTATTGGCTAAAAGTTGTCTTCCATTCTTTTCATTTTTTTAAATTTATTTTTTTATTTTTGTGGCTGGCAAGAAAAGGGCATTCTTTTTTAAAAAAAACAACAGCTTTATTGAGGTATAATTGACATACCTTAAAGTTCACCCATTTTTGAGTGTCTAATTTGTAAACTTTAGTAAGCTTATGGAGCTGTACAATCATCACAGTCCAATTTTAGCACAATCCAATTGATTGGATCAATCCAATCCAATGAATTGATGCAATCAATTCATCACCCTGAAAAGATCTTGTGCGCATTTGTGGTCATTTCCCATTCCCACCCCAGCTCCAGGCAACCACAGATTCACTTTCTCTTTGAAGAAATTTGCCTTTTCTGTACATTTTCTATAAATGAAGTCATACACTATGTAGTCTTTCATGACTGGTTTCTTTCAATCAGGATAATGTTTTTGAGGTTCATTCATATTGTAGCATGTATCAATCTTCCATTCTTTTTTAATTTTTAATTTTAATTGAAAAGTAGTAATTGTATGCTTATGGGGTACAACATGATGTTTCGATATATGTATACATGGTGAAACGGTTTTATCAAGCTAATTAAGACATTCATCCCCTTACATACTCATCATTTCTTTGTAGTGAGAACATTTATAATCTAGTCTTTTAGCAATTTTGATATATATGGTATACTATTGCTAATCATAGTCATATTCTTAAAGGGGATTACTTTCAAAAGAGGACAGCATACCTCATAAAGAAAGTGTGGGGCCGACCCCGTGGTGCACTAGGGAGAGTGCAGCGCTGGGAGCGCAGCAACGCTCCTGCCGTGGGTTCGGATCCTATATAAGGATGGCCGGTGCACTCACTGGCTGAGCGCAGTGCGGGCGACACTAAGCCAAGGGTTGCAATCCCCTTTCCGGTCATGAAAAAAACAAAAAAAAAAAAAAAAAATTAAAAGAAATATTTCATGTTAAATAGTTGCTGCCTTTAGGCCTCAGAATCATTAATATGACTTTAATATAATCTCCCAAGGTCTGCATGAGAATTATCAGCCTATTATGTTCAAGAAACTCACCTCACTCCAATACAATATTCATACACAGAAAAAAAATTTTTTTTTTTAAGTTGGGCTGTGGGC